CTATGAAATTTGAAGCCAGCCAGCAGAGGCAATCATCCTTCGGTTGAAAGATTGCAGCACATTTCATTTTATTTTTTGCAGGGCGAGGGGGCGGTGATATCTCCTGCCCTGGAGCGAGTTCTGGTGAAGTCGGAGAGGGCCAAGGCCACCGGAGAAGGCCGGGCATGCGAGAACAGCATCCTCCCATATTATATCGACATTCATGTCCTTCTGATTAAGGAAACACAGCTTGAGAAGAGCGCTGGGCTTAGCCCCAGCAAAGCAGTTCTTGCTTCAAGCACTTCTCCCTGTTCTGTCCAGCGCAGGGTTTGGATATGTCAGTAGGTGAGGAGTTTTGTCCCAAACTTCCCATGTGAGCTGGCTCAAGTCCATTATTCGCATTATTCCCCCCACTGCTCTGTGCCTGCCCAAATCTCCTCCATCTCGGCAGGACCAAGCACCTTGGCATCTATATCCACCATTTCCTCCATGTAACCCAAGCTGATGGATGCTTTCAGACCAAGCCTCACACACCCCAGCCCGATAGACCACAGCAGCCAGGACCACTGCCCTCCATCCAGAAATGTGGGGCTGGATTCGAGTCCCTCCGCAGCCGGAGGGGGTCCACACTCATCTCCTAGGAGGATGCTGTGTTCACCTTTGCCTGCTCTGTGTAGCCTAAAGGATACCGAATTCGTCCTTGCAAAGCCACTGCCTCCCTCTAACCCTGCTTCTGGAAAGCCTGCAGCTAAGGCAGGCACTCAGGAAGCGGAGGTGGTGGGTTTGGACTCGGGGCCAGGTGGAAATTTGGCCCCGGTGTCTCCCAGCCAGCTGCAAGCCCCGAGCTGGCTGTGGTCAGGCTGGTCCGTTAGAGCATGCCTTTCACATAAGGTAGGAGAAGGAAGTGAAATCGTGTGTCTTCTCAGTCCTACCCAGGGGTCTTCCACATCCCTAAACGGCCACCCAGCTGCTGTGGCACCAAAGATCGGCAAGGTTTAACCCCTTCCCGCTTCCTGCCCCTGTCAGATCGCAGCCTCCAGGCCTCTGCCCACTTCGAACCCCCGTGCTGCCAGCTGGGACCCCCAACAGATTGGGTCTGTTTTAGGTTAAAAACAGACCTGGGATTTCTCCTGGGATGAAGCTTTTTTAATCTGGGATCCTACAAACCCCTTGTCCCACTTTGAAGTACTTGTGAAGTATCCACCATAACCCCCCCTCCCGCCTCCCCCAAGCATGGCTAATAAGATAACACCCCCTCCCGCCTCCCCCAAGCATGGCTAATTCCAGGTAATTGCTGCTTGTGTAAAGGATTATCCCCACCTCTGTGCTGATGTGAGTCAAACTCAGGAACAATCAGACCCAGAATAAGTCAGATGTATTTTTCGCCTTGCAGTTCCCCTTCCTTTTACCGGCTGTCTTATCTCCTTGCCCCTGAACGATGCTTTCTTTTCCCTGGAGAACAACCCTGTTCAAAGGTTTTTGGAGATGCCTCTCATTCCTGGGCCTGCCATAAATTAAGACTTTGCAATGAAAAGAAGAGCCTGTCTGAGCTCGGTACCAACACAGCATGGATCATCCTGCTTTCTGAGCACCGACCCAGCTTTCCCCCCAGCCACGGATGGTCCCCGTCCAGCTGGGCGGTTCTTTTAATCCGTTCTCTTCCTCTATATCCTCCATGATTGCTCTTCTTCCCTCTGTGTCTTCTTAATAATGTCTTTGTGGCTTAGAGAAAGTTGCTTTGGAAAGGGAAGGTGACCCCAGTGCTCTTTGCGGAGAAGGGCTTTGGTTCTGCTTCAGTTCAGCTTTCCATGAAATAATACAGACTATTGTGCAAAAGCCTCTGGTGAAAATAACCACACCTGGATCAACCAGAATAGATATGAAGAAATAGATGCAGAACTAAAAACATTGCAACCCCACTACAAGCCATGGGTTCGCTACAGCCTGCTCAGAAACCAGAGCTACCTCTACACCAGTGCTGGAAGCAGTAGTGTCTCCTAGCTCAGAAACCATTGATTTTTATACATTCATGGAAAATGAGGGTGTGACCCCAAGAGGTCACATCTAGTCCAACCCCCTGCTCCAAGCAGGACGGGCCCCAGCTACATCATCCCAGCCAAAGCTTTGTCTACCCGGGTCCTCAAAACCTCCAAGGATGGAGAGTCCACCACCTCTCTGGGTAACCTGTTCCAGTGCTTTACTGCCCTCCTAGTGAGAAAGTTTTTCCTAATATCTAACCTAAACTGGATGACCATCTTACTGGGGTCACCAGACTCCAGTTGTCTTTCCTGCCTAGTGCAGGCAGCTGGACCGAATGATCTTGCAAGGTCCCTTCCAGCCCCTAACATCTATGAATCTCAACTTCCCTTGCTGCAGCTTGAGCCCATTGCTCCTTCCCCTGCCGTGTGCCCCCACTGAGACCAGCCCAGCTCCATCCTCTTTGCAGCCCCCCTGCGGGGAGGTGAAGGCTGCTATTCAATCCCCCTCGGTCTGCTCTCCTCCAGACTAAATCAGCCCCTTTCCCTCAGTCTCTCCTCACCAGTCCTGTCCCCCAGCCCACAACCATTTTCATTGCCCTCTACTGGACTCTCTCCAATGTGTCCACATCCTTTCTGTAGTGGGGGCCCACAGCTGGACACAGGACTCCAGATGTGGCCTCCCCAGTGCTGAATAGAGGGGAAGAATCACTGCCCTCCATCTGCTGCAACGCTCCTACCGATGCAGCCCAGGATGCCGGTAGCCTCCTTGGCACCAAGGACACACTGCTGGCTCCTGTTCAGCTTCTTGTCCCCCGTCCACCCAGGTCCTTTTCTGCAGAGCTGCTGCCCAGCCAATTGGCCCCCGCCCAGAGCGGTTTCTATGCAGACCTCCGGCTAGAAGCCAGATTAACCAATATAAAGGACTTTGTACAATCACGTAGCTCATGCACCCCCACTCCCCTAGCACATACCTTCATATATTGAAAGGTCAGTAGTGACCTATGTGATTATCCAGTCTACCTACCCCAGATCCTCCTGAATGAACTCCTATGTGAACCACAGCAGTGGTTTTCAAACTAAGGTGTGGATATCCCTGGGGGTACACAGAGATTCACCAAGGGGTATGTGCCTAAATTTGAATAATGGTGGCAGAGCTTCTGATGGGTCAACCTTGATTTTAAAATTGCCCTCGATACAGTTTCCACCCCTGCTCTGCACAAGTTCCTCCTAGGATTGATCATTCTTGCTGTTTAGAAAATGTGCCGATTTTTTCTCCGCTGAATTTGCCTGACTTCAGCTTCCAGCAACCAGTTTCTTGGTTGCGTCAGGTCATAACAGCAGGTTTTCCAGCCGTTCTCAGTCCTCACTCGCTTCCCATCGTCCTCCCTGAATTGCAGGGAATGTGTCCATCCTCCCTGCCCTGGCCACTTTCCTGCTTCCTACTCTTCCTCCTTCCCCTCCAGCTTTTTCCCCTTCCCTCCTTACATTCAGCTTTTTTGCACACTTACTGCTGCACTTTCAACGCCCCATCAGTGCCATTCCTCCAGTGGGAAACACAGGCACAGACCAGGGGATGCCTCAACCTCAGATTAGCTCTGGAGCCGAAGGTTTGGGGGGCTATATTACCCCTCAGAAGTCAGAGAGGTGCAGGCAACTAAAGGTGCATCTACACATGCACTTGAATGTGCATTGGCCTATTTTAATGTGCATTAAAAACCATGCACATTCACTAATGCACATTAAAATAGGCTAATGTGCACTAAAGCATCACTAAAAACCATGCACTTCTGCTAAGGTGCATTAAGACAGGCTAATGTGCATCTTCCTAGTACCTCACAATGGAGATACTAGATTTAATGTGCATTAACTAAAGCGCATTAATGCATGGGTAGATGTGCCCTAAGAGTGGAAGAAGCCATGGATTGGGGAACCCGTCTTGACCCCCTGATAGATGAGAAGGAGAATACAAAATTGTATTTTGAAAGTGGAGGAGTTTGGTTGTTTTTGTCACTGCTTTAGCTGTTCTAGCTGCTTACCCAGGATGTTTAGTGATTATTGTGGCATTGTACACTGAAAAGAGAACTGGAAACATCACACGCTCTGACGTGACTCAGGCGTGGGAGGGTGATGAGGGTTTTGTGCTGAAGTGAATAAGGTAGGCTTTCAAGTCTGTGAATTTAGGGGCAGTGTTTCCAAAGCGCCTAGGAGACCGATTATCAAATGTGACTTACACCCTTTGGGGAGACTGTCTAAGGTAGTTAGGCTCCTACAGAAAGGAAAAGAAAAGGAAGTGATGGTTCAAAGCTGCAGAGGTGCCTTTGAAAGGCCCACTCATCTGGTTGCATAGCACTGCTTTGTGAGTGGATTAATTATTTTATTTCACCATCGAGTCTCTATATGGGATGGGTGTGTGGCTTTTTTTCCTGACCCATCACGGTCCAGATCGGAGGATATAAATAAAGCTGGCCAAAGTCCCTAAGGAGAGCATCACATAGCTGTTTCTCGTGCTGCTGTCTCCGCTCGCGTTGCATAATGGCTTATCGCAGCAAAAAACTCTGGTGCTTGTTCTGTTTTGTTTCGTGCTCATTTCTGGACACTCTTGAGAGCACATCTTGGTGGTGATGTATTTAGGCCGCTTGCGATCTATACCAGGAAAGGGGAAAAACAGAAAAAATCATTGCTAGAAAGTGTCCTTCAACTCCGAGAACCATTCATATCAGAGACAGAATAGTACTAAAGGAGCCCAGAAAATACGACCAGCAAAGGCATCATTTCTTAATGACCAACTGGAGAGTTGGTCATTACTTCAGCCGGTCTTTATTAACCAGAATATCTACAGACCATGGGCAGATTAATACTTGAGGCAGTGCTCACTCTTCAGCACTAATATTTAAGGCCGCTAGATCATAGCTTCTAGCATGCCTCATTTCCTGAAAATGGGATGACCACTGGGACCAACTGGGACGACCAATCCAGGAAAAATGGGACGGCCACTGAAACATCAAGGGAGATTATATAGGAACCTAGAGAAATAGGACAAGCCCAAATAAAGTGAACCACAGACAATCCATCCCATATCCTACGTCAGATCCAACATGCGTGAGGAGGTAGCTTTGAAAGTGCAAAAGTTCCCTCGGGATAATGCGAGTGAAAGCCATCTATTGAATTAATCTATTGAATTAATCATGATATTGTGTCTTGAGGTTGCCCCGTGCTATGAGACAGCAGGGAAGCAGAACGGGCAGCAGGACTTCTCTCCGAGGGTGCCCTAGGGTCATCTTTCCAAAGGGACGGGGGGATCAAGCTGAACTTCAGCCAGAGTTAGAGGCTTGACAAGGGAGGAAGAAGCAATACGGTGCCCCAGACAGCATGGCGTGTGTTAAGCCACAAGTATTGCAAGTCAACTCGAGGATGGTCTTTCCTGGTTGTGTAAATTAGTTTTGCATGGGTCCCACTCCCTCGAGACAGCCTCCTGAGCAAATATCACCACTTGCTGTTGGGCAACTCACTACTCAGTCATCATTTCTTCAAGAAGAAGAGGAAAAAGCAATGATGGCTTGGGAGACTGGCCTAGGAGAAGACCCAGGTGACCTCCTGCATCATGCCACAATTTAGACCATGCACTCCTTGGGGCATGTTTCTAATTGCATGTGTGTCTAATCCCTGGCTGGTGCCCCCAGGTGCCAGAATAGTAAGAAACGGCAAGGAAAGATGATCCCCAAACTTACAAGTTCCTATGTTTTTACGGAGGATCACACAATATCTGTCATTGTCGTTGCATGTAGTGATAGTTGACAGGCAGTTCTTCCGGTACCTCTCGCTATCACATGTGTAACACATTAGAGAGGAAGCTGAAAAGGGAACAGAAAACAGGGTTTAGGAAGGGATAGAGAAAGCAGTCTTCACTCTCTGGGTATCCACGTGTGGTGGATTGATGTCTCTTCCAGTAACGACAGGGCTATCCATTGCTTTCCATGTGCTTTGCTGGCAGGACAGGAGTGCATCGCAGAGAGGAGAGGGTCTGGACTTTGCAACCGAGCAATTGCTCCCCAGTCTGAATAGCTCTCTCACAGACAGTGCTTGCCCCATGGGTATATTCAGCCCACTTGGAAGCAATATGAGCTGACGTGGGATCAGGATGCTTATGATGGCATACTTCTGTCTCATGCCACCTGGAGATTGCAATCAAATACCTTTCCCAGTGTCTGGGTGATGCTGGGGCCTGTCAACGCTGAGAAAACGATGCTGAGTTGAGGAAATGAAGTAAAAAACTGATCAATCTCGTATCAGCTGTGTACAACCCACATTTGTGATCCAAGTCGGCCCCCTCCACTGTGGGCCAGATTCCCACCAGCTGCTAAATGATGGGACAGGACTTATGACCAAGATCTCTCTCTCTTTCATATGCTGTGGGGCAGGAGGCTGGGAGCTTTTACTTCTTCCAGCTCTATTTTGGGCTACTAAAATGTGCTTTATGCAAAATTATACCTTCCATCTTTTCAGAAGCTGATGCCAAAGAGGGCAAACTGCTAGGGGAACAGAGCATCTCCACGTGCTCTAGAGTCATAGGAAATGAGTGTGTGAAAGGACCTCAGGAGGTCACATCCAGTGCAACCCCCTGCTCCAAGCAGGACCAGCCCCAACTCCATCATCCCAGCCAGGGCTTTGTCTGCCTGACTCTTAAACACCTCCAAGGATGGAGATGGCACCACCTCTCTGGATAACTCATTCCAGTGCTTCACCACCCTCCTAGTGAGAAACTTTTTCCTAATATCCAACCTCAACTTCCCTTGCTGCAGCTTGAGCCCATTGCTCCTTGTCCTGTATCTGCCCCCACTGAGAACAGCCCAGCTCCATCCTCTTTGCAGCCCCCCTGCAGGGAGGTGAAGGCTGCTATTCAATCCCCCTCAGTCTTCTCTTCTCCAGACTCAATCAGCCCATTTCCCTCAGCCTCTCCAACCCCTGAACTATTTTCATTGCCCTCCCGCTGGACTCTCTCCAATGTGTCCACATCCTGTCTGTAGTGGGGCCCACAGCTGGACACAGGACTCCAGATGTGGCCTCCCCAGTGCTGAATAAAGGGAAAGAATCGCTGCCCTCCATCTGCTGGTAACGCTCTCCCAGCTTTTCAGTTGCATTCTTGATGCAATTGAAAATATTGGCTTTGTTGCCAGCCTTGACCAGCCTCAGGTGATGTAGGTTGAGCTGCACAAAAAATGGCCAAACCCATCAGCCCTAAAGCCTTTCTTTGATTGCTGAGAACAAAACACTGGGAGGCATTACAACTGGCCTGGCCAGCAAAGTAAAGGGAGCACTTAACACATCCAGGGAAGCTCTAGCATCTTCTTCCCTGGAGGTTTTCAAGAAGAGGCTGGATAAGTATCTGTCTAGGATGGTTTAAGAACAGCTCACTCTGCTTTCATGCAGGAAGTTGGAGTAAATGTCTCCTAAACTCAATGATGCACATAGAGAAGTAGGGCTGGAAGGGGCTTCCAGCAGTCATGTAGTCCAACCCCCAAGTCCCTTCCAAGGTCCAGCTAAATCAGCAGCGAGACCAAATGTAACCGAGAGAAACCTCTTGCAAGAAACATCATGCAGGGAGGCCAAACTTAATATATTCTACGTTAGCTTAAGGATGTTAGCCGCAGGGGCTGCGGGAACCACGTGCACCAGATGCCGTTGTGCTGCGATAGAGGGGTGGCTGTTAAGTTTTTTTGAGAGAGCTTGTAAAAACAAAACCAGGTTTTCCAGAGAAGACTATTAATTAAAAGGAAAAGGAAACAGCGGGGGCACTTAGGAAACAGGAGAAGTGGCGTTCTGAGAGGCAGAACGTAGAGATAAGCCATGCATCCTTCCGAAAAAGCCTGCGGTCTTTACCAGGCCGCTGTTTTCAGCTAATGGACACCTCCCAGGGCCACGCAACACCTGTTCAGTCTCATTCTCAGAAAGACACTTGAATAAGCAAATGGAGGAGGTGTGTTAGAGTGAATCATGCATTTAAAAACCAGGAGATGGACCTCAAGGGGAAATAGGAGAACGCCGTAGATTTACAAACATCCATCGGTTTGTGACCCATCCTCCTCCAGCCCCTTGGGTCTCTCCAGGCAATATAGGGTAGACCCTATACTGCCCTGTCAGGCAGAGGGATGCTCAGATAAGTGTGTACATCTGTGTGTTTGGGGTGTAGATGATAAAACGTTGTCATTGTATCTGGAGCTGACTTTCCAATGCACCGGGGATCCAGGTCCCAGCCTGGACCAGTGGAGCCTCATGCGGTCTGCCATCTTCCTACTGCAAAGACCACCTCTCTCTCCACTTTGCCGTCAAGCTGGATGACGTTAGTATAAGAAGAGGAAGGGGGCTCTGATCCTAGTGTTCTGCATGGGGTCCCCTTGGTCCTGGACTCATCTCCCCACCCCAGTCTGGGGTTGCCCAAAGCTGCTGTCCTGCAACAGGAGGTTGCAGAGCTCATTACCGAGAGCGTTAGGAGTTTGAGGAATGAGTGCTTCATGGAGTCAGAGAGAATCAGTGCCCCCCCCCCCC